GGAGCTCAGCTGCATCTATTCTGACGCAATTGCTTCTCTCCCTGACGCATCCCTTCCGGACGCCAAGACGCGGCAAAATGCAGCGATCATCCAAGGCATCCAGCCGCCCAAGGACGAAAGGGAGGCGGCTTGGATGTCGAAAACCGAAAACCGAAAGATTCCAAGGATTCAAATGAAGAAACCTCGATACCCAAAGAGCCTCACCATGGATTTTAGACGATTCCTGGTGCCGGATAGCCACACACAAAAAAAATTCAAAAAATGGATGGATTTAACAGCAAATGAAATCAATCAAGATGTGGACGTTAGATCTTGCTTCACCTGATATATAGAAGCGACAATGTTCAGGAAGTGAAATCTCCCATTACCAAGACAAAATATGTAGATCCTATTTTAAAAGCTTCGAAGTGATTACTGTATTGATGCTATTCGTGATGGATAAAGTAGTATCCTAAGAATTACAACGAATTAGGACCATCCAAGGCGTCGTTGCCCTCACGAAGAACAGCTTCGGTCGAATCCAGTACCGTGGATCCTCGCATTTGCGAGAATGGGCATTTTGACAAGGCCGTTCACGAGATCCTGCGCAAGACCATTGTCTGCTGGATAGCTCTCACGCAAGTTTCAACTTGAGCGCCGCCAGGAGCATGTTTGAGAGCATGAAGATGCGCACCTTGGTTTCCTGGACCACCAACGCTCAAAACGCTTGAAGGACAAAATCAGGAGTCAGAACCATACTCAGGTGCTTCAATCCCTTTCGAAAGCTTCCACAGTCAGACCGTTTGCTTCTAACCTCCAAACCATTCAAACGCCATTTCAGCAGCATTCACTCTCTGCATTATCTCTTTGGCTTCTTCCGATCCACTCTCGTAGTCTGTCACGCGTTTCCTCCAAGAAGACACAAGAGCATCGTACTCGTGCTTTTCCCACGTCCGCCCCAAGTCCACTCACTGATCGATGAGATGGTATCTACTTTGCTGTCCAGCACAATCTCCTGAGGGAAGTCTTCTCTATTCACCACCCTGAGCTTGTTACCCTCAAAACAGTCGCTCTGGACTCGTAGATCATGACCAGAAGTACCAGACGAATGCAGATTTACCAACCCCCGAATTTCCATTCAAATGGCAGCACAACATCCACATGAACGGCACCAGGATCTTCCTGATCTCTTTGTACAACCCATCGAATATCTCCTTCACGTACAGCTTCAGAATATTGCTGTGGAATGTGGTCAGACGAGCACCTTGAGCAAGAAATTTCATCCGTTCCAGATGGAACATTGATCCACCATGCCTGGAGATCTCCTAACATAGACTGCATGTTCCCCAGGAGGCAAAGCATATTATTGTACGTTTTAATTGAAAAGCATTTAGCTCAAGCGTTACAATGAGCTATCCAATAAGAGCACAACTCCTTAAAATGGACATTCCAACAATGGCCTAATCTTCATTTTTGAGCTTAGTCCTGGGTTCATTTTAAAAGATTGTAACCGAGCTTAGGTGGGTTCCTTGTAAAAGATTGTAATTAGAAGCTCTATTAGCTAAAAGAGTGATGGAATCACAAGGAATCCAATCACGGTGGCGTTCTTCAGGCCACTTTAGCACACGACAATGACATCCTCAATGTTAACAATCCACCTTGCGTGTACTAGTGCTCCACAATCGGGCAAGTCTCTGCATAGGTTCATCATTTGGCGAGGAGCCCAACGTAGCTACATGTTATAACTTATGCTCTAGCATTCTTGAGGCCAGTTTCATCCTACTAGATGGTACATCCTGACAAAGAACTTTTCTGATTTCGGAAGTGAATGTGATCTAGTTGGGAGCCATTCCTTCCAAGACCATCTCCTGGTAGAGGATCAAATTAAAGCGTGGAAGAAATTCCCAGTGAGAGCGTAGGCCTAGCAGTCCATGCGACAATGTTGTGGCACTCGGGCATTTGATCGAACATTGCCCGTGCCATGTGTGTGTCGTTTTGAGTGTAGAACTCATGCTTTTCCACGGTATGTATGGTTCTTCTCGTGCTCAGTTTGCTTATACTATTGTCCAGATTGCTTCATTCCTCATAGATGTATTTTCCAAGATAAATGGAGGCCTGTAGTTCATCAACATCCAAGGCGTGGAGTGACCACATGCAACTTGTGATGAGACGAGTTTGTGACCTTTGTGTTATGCCTTCTGCTCTTTGGAAACTTTTGAGACAGCTTGCTCTCAGCTGATTGAGTTTAAGCTCGGTCAAGGCTCTCACAAGGTTGGACAATAGTGTGAAAGACAAATGCCAAAACCATGTGTTTGAGGACAAGCTTAACTAGCTAGTTACACCAAGATCACCACCAATTCCATGAGGTGTGACTTGTTTATGTTGAATCTAGGATTTTCCTCGAGAGCTTCCCTGGTTTATTGGATGTCTGGTGCAACCCTGGAGTTTTTTTTGCAGGTGAGTAAGCTTTCACGGTTTCAGAGCAATATATTATATTATTGCCAAGAAAAGGCATCAAAACTTGGGGCTCCAGAGTCTCACGCCCCGAGGATTTGAAAGGATCCAAACCTATGGACCTCCAGCTTGGACAACCAAGTGAAGAATAGATTCCTGGGGCCATGGTGCCTGGATCAAATCAAACTCGGGCTCAGACAAGCCATCTTCCAGAACAATATCTTAAACAGATGTTGCTGGTTCTTGTTGCAGCATACTTATACTTTGTTTCTCAAAACTAGCTTCTGCATCAGCTACTTGCTCAGATTGAGATGTAGAGTCCATCCAAGCCGTTTTGTTTGCCATGGCCTCGCCAGAGCATGGAGCAAGTGAGAGTTTCATTCCATCGAGAAGAGAATGGTTTCTTTCTTGAGCTTGACTGCAGCAAATTTTTCTAGACATGCAAAACAACAGAAATCTTATAAAACCCACTTTGCATATGTCTCATGAATAAGTTCGGACTTTTCAGGAGTATCGGTGGGCTTCAAGCTCCTCTTTGTTTATAAATGTAAATGCTCTTGTGCAGGAAGCTTATGAATACTTCTTATGAAAAGCACCTCAACTCTTGTATCCATTTTCTTAGAAATGAGCGAGAGCTTGCGCCGTTATGGTGAAGGTATGATATACGTTAAGAAGCAATTAGTGTTTAGTGCCATCTCTCGATGTTTGGGTGGCTTGAATCCCTCGGAGCTCTCCATCCGGTTGCACCCAGACAAAGGCGACGTTTTCCATCCCCTCTCTCTCAATTACACAACGAGCCTGTCGTGCCGGACTTGGGACGAGCTGGTCCAGGAGCTCAGCTGCATCTATTCTGACGCAATTGCTTCGCTCCCTGACACATCCCTTCCGGACGCCAAGACGCGGCAAAATGCGGCGATCATCCAAGGCATCCAGCCGCCCAAGGACGAAAGGGAGCCGACTTGGATGTCGAAGCTGTCCGAGATTTGCAGAGGTAGGATCGACGTGGACTTGCTTTTGTGCCACGAATTCATGCTCGCCTTTAGCTACCATCTGGACATGAACGATTCAAACGTCGTCTCCATCGACAAGGAGCAAGATTGCCAGGACCTGATCACGCAAGAAGAGGAAGAGCTCTACATTGATCGTCACCTCCCTCGAGCTCAAGCTGACGAGATTGTGTGCGAGATCTCTCAAGTTTTGCCACAGTCGTACCGGTGGCTGGGTCTGGAGGAGATGGACAGCAAAGAGGAGGTTTTCCGCATGATCAACTGGGACGTGGAGGTGAGGAGCTCCAATCTCAGCCAGGCAAACAAGATCTTGGATTGACGTGGTCGGTTGGCACTCACTCAGTACACTGTATGCCCAGTCCGGGCATCTTGAGATTTCCAGGAACAAGGAGTTCCGTGATCGTCTCCTGGAAAGCGATGATAACCGCGTATGTGGCGGCATCCCGCATCCGAGAGTGAGAGTCTATGTTTGATTGCGACTCAGAGCGCCATGGAACTCGATTATAATGGCACTCGCGCACCAGGGGCAAATGAAATCGACCTTGCGCAAAAACGCCGGCCAAGGATCTCATGTCCTGGACGAATCTACTGCCCAGAATGACAGGACGTTCCGTGGGTTCCCCTCGACAGCACCGTGTGCTCTACTTTCCAGCAACGTCCCGTAGTCATGTGACGAGATGATCGACAAGACTGGACAAAGTTATAGATCGCGACGTAGCGATCAGCTGATGGAGAGAGCCCAAGAACAGCTCGAGCAGCGGTAACTGCTAGATGGTGGTGCGATTTTGATCTCAGGTGCCGTTGCATCCCCAAGCAACGGCAAACGGCATCGTGTCGAGACGTTCGCTCGTCCCGATTTTTCCAGCATGTCGATCATGCTCGTCGGAAGCATCGGTAATGGAAAGGAAGGAACTCCATCCTTGGGCGAGCAAGCTGCTAGCGCTCCATGAAACTTACTTCATCGGGGATCGTTCCTTCGATTTGATCACTCCAAAGAGCTCAATCGCGTCTCTGGATTCTCAGTGCGCGGCAAGGGCCACGAGCATCGAGTTCTATGCTCCCACATCGAGCTCCGGCAAGCGCAGGCATTGTTCGAGATTTCCCTGTGAACATATGCAGATAGAGCTGTGTCGAGCCATTTTTTCAGAAACCTCCCCCGATTCCTTCGAAAGCCCCATCTCCGAGAAAGCTCCCAGCAAGGCAATCCAAGCAACGATGCTTCACTGTAGCATCGTAGTGAGATATCCCTGGCGTTGTGGATTTGCCGGTCTAGACATGCGCATTGTTCATGGTGTAAGAGACCTGCCACTGTTCTTTCGAGTGTCTTGGCTATTTGCATCGAAAAAACTTAGTGGTCAAACACACAGCTACTCGAAGAATGCCACTGTTCCTTCGAGACCCTTGCTGCAAGATCGTGTCTTGGCCATTCAGCAAAATCATGTCTTGGCCCTTTGAATCGAAAAAACTCAGTGGTCAATCACGACTTCAACGACCTCACTGGGGATCGAACCCAGAATCTCTGGTTCCGTAGACCAGCGCCTTATCCATTGGGCCATGAGGTCGTCTTTAACATAATAATTCCGATTAACTAAGTGTCCGAACAAACGAAAGTGTTACCCAGCAACACGTAAGGCATGCCATCCCTCTCGTCCATTTCAACCAGCGACGCGAAAACAGTCCTAGCAGCCTCTACATTCTTCCACTTGCTACATGCATCCAGCAGCATTGTCCTCAGTGTCACGTCCGCCTTCACGGGAAGCTTGTTTGCCATGGCGATTGCCTCCTCCAGGTGATTGCTCCGGCCTAGGAGATCCAGCATGCAAGTGTAGTGCTCCACACCCGGAGCAATGCCATACTCCTTGGCCATTGCCTCGAACAAGTCCCTCGCTTTCTCCACGATTCCAGCTTGCGAGCACGCAGAGAGAAGCGCCAGAAATGTGATCGCGTCTGGAACCATTCCTCGATCTTTCAGCTCCTCCCAAGTTGCAAACGCTCGGATGGTATCACCCCCTTGGCAATATCCCACAAGCAGTGCGTTCCATGTCACGAGCTCTTTCGAGTTTCCATCTGCCGAGGCATCAAAAAGTTGCTGCGCATCCACCATGCTTCCGCATTTCCCATAGGCATCCACCAGCGACGTTACCACAAACGCATCACTTTCCAGTCCTGCGCTACAAATCCTGGCGTGGAGTTCTTTTGTGACTCTCAAGCGGCCCCACGTTCCACAGGCTTTGAGCGCTGCTACGTAGCTGAGTGAGCTCGGCCTGTAGTGATCGCCGGCTTCCAGCATCCGCGAGAATGCAAGCAAGGCCAGCTCGGGCTCTCCCGTCTGAGCGTACCCGGTGATGATCGAGTTCCACGAGATCACGGTGCGGTGCTGCATTCTCGTAAAGACCCCCGCTGCGTCTTCCATGCTCCCAAACTTGGCATACATGTCCACCAGAGCGTTGCCTACGAAGTTTTCCTTCCGGTCGTAGCCTTTTTCCGCGACCCGAGCGTGGATGGCCATGCCTTTCTCCAGGCATTTCAGTTTTACGAGCTTCCCGTCCACGAGCCTGCCCTGCTCTGTCGCTTCCAGACCAGTGCAAGCGTTGATTGCAGCGACGCAAGTCCGACTGTCCGGTTCGAAGCCTTCATCAATCATGCGTGTCAGTGTCTGTAACGCTAGCTCGCACTGTCCACCCTGAGCATACGCCGTCAGCACTACGTTCCATGAGACAACGTTCCTTCGCTTCATTCCCTCAAAAACCTGGCTAGCATCCTGGACACTCCCGCAATTGGAGTACATATCCATCAAAGTGTTCGCCACAAAGATGTCGGAGTTGTAACCATTCTGGAACGCCAGAGCGTGGATAGCCATGCCTTTCTCCAAAGCCGTCATTCTTTCCTGTGCAGCCCCGTCTTCTCTAGATGCAAGGCCCGAGCAAGCCTTGAGCGCAGCAACGTAAGTTCGAGCGTCCGGGACATTGCCTTCTTCCAGCATGCGTGTGAATAGCTGCAACGCAAGCTTTTCTTCCCCGCTCTCGCCATGTCTAAGTATCACTACGTTCCACGACGTAACATCGTGACGCTGCATCTGATCAAACACCCGGCGAGCTTCCATCAGCCTCCCACACCTGGCATACAGATCGACCAGCGTATTCGCGACGAACATGTTGGTGTGATGTCCACCTTTAGCAGCTTCAGTGTGTAGAGCTACTGCCATCTTCAAAGAGACCGGCTTGACAAGCTTCCCCTCCACACTAAGGCCCTCTTCCTTGTCGGAAAGGCCGCTGCAAGCCGTGAGAACAGCCACGAAAGTCAAGGCGTCTGCAACAAAGCCTGCCTCTTGCATACGCCGAAAGTATTCCACTGCCAGCTCCGGCTCTCCATTCTGAGAAAACCCCATTATGACTGCATTCCAGGACACCACTGTCCGGTTCTTCATCCTGTTAAAAACCTGCTGTGACTCCTCCATGCTTCCACACTTCGCATACATGTCCACCAACGTGTTTGCTACGAAAATGTCCTGGTCGTGGCCTCTCTTTGCAGCTTGTCTGTGAATGACTCGGCCTCGTTCCAAACACTGAACCTTTTCCTGTGCCACATCTCCGGATGCCAGACGGCTGCAAGCCTTCAAGGCAGCAACGAACGTCCGAGAATCTGGCTTGAATCCCTCGTCTTGCATGCGGGAGAACAAGCTGAGAGCCAGTTCACCGTCTCCACTCTGAGCAACCCGCATGATAACCGTGTTCCACGACACTGTATTGCGCTCTTCCATCTTGTCGAAGACCTGGCATGCCTCTACTACGCTGCCACATTTCGCGTACATGTCCACCAAGGTGTTTGCCACGAAGATGTTGATGCTGCCTCCGCATTCCCTGTGAAGCCTCCTGCCGGTCTTAAGGTCCTTCAGTCTGCCGCATTCCCTCAGAGCGTCAATGACGAGGGACACGCTCGCATTGTCACCATCTTCTCGTATTTTGTGGTAGATTCTGAGAGCCTCTCGACCTTCAAGCTTAGAATCGTCGCTCTGTTGGCTGAAGCGAGCATCCAAAGGTTGCAATTTGAGATTGTGGCTCAATCCATGAGAAAACATATATGCCCAGATTCACTAGCTCCTGCAACAGCGATGTCAAGGAAAAGCCTTTCAAATGCATTTGACAGTGTACCTTACACGCTCGCAACAAAGTCGAGCTAGAACAACGCTGCACCTCAATCGGGAGCGACTCATCCAGCAAAAATATTACAAATACACATCTTCCCAGCCTATATGACGAAACAAGAAGAAACCTAGGTACCCACTCTTAAAAGCTACTGATGTGCGGCGATAGCGTTGAATATAGCCTCCAGCGTAGCCTGACCAACGTTGTATTCCGCAATACCAGCACTCGCTCTGCAGAATACAATCAGTCGAAGAGACTAACAAACAATTGTGTCCAGATTACCTGTGATGCTCCATGTGTCCAAAAACCCGTGCTAAGGAAGAACTCCCGTATGGCAGCTGTGTCAATGCGAGTCAGAGAAAATATATCACCTGATAGAAAATGAAGCTTACTTGATAACGGAAGTTTGATCCGTTTCGCTCTAAAAGAGAAGCTCCAGGAAATGATGCTCGAATGAACAAGTCAATTTTCATTGCCCGATCTTTTGCCAGCCACCACTCACAAAAGAGTTTGGTTTGGACGGTACCTGGAATAAACAAAGGTTAGAAATCGAAACGAGAGAAAAGTTAAGTTACCTGTGCTTGATAATTCGCGAAGCAGAAGCTCAGATAGAGCACCATCACCAACAGATGCATGCCCAGAGAGTAGTGCTTGTCCCCACTGCTCATTACCAAGGATAAATGCCGCAGCCGTAACCTCCGTTTCTGACAGAGTTGCATCTGAGTTATCCAATGCGATAATTTCTGTCTCTCGAGCATCAGAGTCCGGCAGATTTTGTAGCACAAAATGAGAAAGCTTGTCTACTTCAGATTGAGTGGTTGTGACAGCTTTGACCTGAAAACACGATCAGGCCACTGCAAACCAACATCGGAGATAGCTACCTCGAGTTCCAGGCTATTTCCAAAACGGCTTTTTAAGTGCTGTGGACTGCCAAGGCAACGCAGTCGGCCCGCAGCCTAAAAAAGGAGTGTGTTAGCTTGTGAAACTTTGAATGAACTGAAGGATCTGATAAAATACCATAATCCCAATGCGCGTACACAATGCCTGAGCTTCGGCCATACTGTGAGTAGTTAGTATAACTGCAGAAAGCCCTCTCCTTGTTGAAATACGTGTAATGACATCCCACATAAAGCGCCTTGCGACTGGATCCATGCCTGCATAAATTTTTTAAAAAAAAACTAGAACAGAAGTTTATAGATAAATTCAAACCTGTGGAAGGTTCATCCAAAATCACGATAGGAGGGTCTGCCACCATTGCAATTGCCACAGATAGCTTACGCTTGTTCCCTCCACTCAGGGAAGAAGCGGTTTTGTGCGCTTGACCCCAAAGATCAAATTCAGTCAACTTTTCTTGAACCACCTGAGAATTCACCAAGGCAAAGTAAACAGAGCCACATAGAGCAGTATAAAGCTAACCTGCTCGAGCTTATCTTCCGGAACAGCCTTGATGTTTGCATAGAGTTCAAGGTGTTCTCTAACTGTCAGCAGGTCAAGTAGTGCATCGAACTGTGGACAGTAGCCAATCTGTAAGAAGAAAAGTCAATATTTCATACTGACGGTAAAGTGATCTTACAAGTTGTCTTGTATCTGCCGGGTTGCTCCACACGTCATGGCCAACAATGTAGGCATTTCCTTCACTTGGAGGAAACTCTCCTGCAAGATATTCAGTTTTACTCTGCACAAAACCGCAGGGTAAAAGTTTACCGCATAGCATGGATAACGTAGTCGTCTTTCCAGCGCCATTCGTTCCTAAAAACCCAAAGCATTCTCCTGCATCGACCGCAAAACTCAGTGCATCTACAGCCACTTTAGGTGGTTGACGCGCTCCGCAAGGAAACGTCTATAAAGTAGAAACATTAGCAGTCAAGTGATAGAAGTTCAGCTTTTACCTTTCGTAATTCAACCAGTTTAACCACGCTGTCCTTGCTTCCTCCTGATTGAACCCGGCGCCGCTCGCGTGCCACGTCCAAATCTTCATCTTCCAAATGTTCCTCCGGTAGAAAAGGCTCGGAAAGTGTGCCAGCTCGTCCAGAGTTAGCGAACAGATTTCGCCTCCATTTTCCAAAACAGCTCTTGCACCAAGCCGTCAAAATGTAAGGTGAAGGAAGCAGCTCCATCGCAAGAACCAGGAGGAAATACAAGATACTCTGCGTAGCTTTCATTTAATTGTGAATGTCAAACTATCTATTCCATACCTCACAGCATAAATATGTGATAGATGCTCCAGTCGTGTTCCAAGCAAAAGGTTCTTTTTGAGAGCTTGGCTTTAAGCTCTGTTTCCGAAGAGCTAGTGATGCCAGCCCATCAGCTAAACAAAATCCAGGAGAAAGCCTGAAGATGTTCTGCATTGCAACACAAGGAAAGAGTTAGATTACCTGCTCGAAATTTTTCTTGATTACCTTCAAAACTCTATTTACACCCTTTGTTGCACGAAGGACGCCCATAATGAACGATACAACCATCAAAATAAGCCCACTAAAAAAATGAATAAGCAGGATTACGTTCTACACAAGAGAGGCTGCATCAGGAAATAGTCGGAAAAATAAACAATTTCATTACTTGAGCCAACGAATGATCCGTGAAGAAAAATGTTAAACAATACGTAGAAGCTGCAATTGCAGGGCCATAAGCAACCATCATAATAGAAGTAGCCAGGATAGACTCTTTGCCAATAAACTCCTCCATCCCTACAAATTGCAGTGTCACTCCGAAAGACAAGAAAAACACTTTCAAAACTTACCGAAGATAAAGAAAAGACCGACAGCAAGACCTGCTGGTAATAAATAGCTTAGCACGTCCCAGACGTATGTCGAAATCCAGTAAGCCATTAATGAAACCTTTTGAAAAAAGACGAATTAGTCAACCATTAAGCACGAAGGCATACGCACCCCACTTATGAGTTGCTGGTGTTTTGCCTTCACTTCCCGCTCCTACAGGGAAACAAAATTTTGTAACAAAAAACAAAGGAAAGAAACTGTACCTTTACTATAGCCACAGCAAAAGAAGCTGGGATGAACGAATAAGCGACATTTACAATTATACCAGCAGAGAACGCATTGATATCCTAAAAATAAAACAAAGAAATTGAGAATCATGCACGAAATGAATACTGTAGCTTACGCGTCGTTGAGCCATCTGAGACACCGTCATAGGTAACGGATGATTCCTAGTCCGTAGCTCAAGCTTAGAATTATTCGTCGCCATCTTCAGTATCGCGTTGTTAACAACGTTAATGTAGGTTGGAGCTGCATGTTGACACGTCGTATTGTGAAGCACAGCGTAAGCAAGGCTTCCATCGCTGTGCTGCCTGTCCATGACAACAGCGCCATACCTGGTATCCAAGCCAACGAAGATAAGGACGCAACAAGAAAACCAGAACTAGAGTCAACCTTGATTCATATGTCTCGTTGAAGCTCGTCATTAGATATTCGCTCATTGACACGAGGGCAGGCCCAAGTGACGGTCCAGCTGCGTCAATCGCATTTTGTAAAACAGTGTCCGAATCTGGGAACTTGTACACTCGAGGTTCTTCTTTCTGTATCCAGCCTCCAGAAACATAACGTGCTACCTGAAAACCCAAACCGTTAGCTAAGAACAGCATCTAAAAGACCCAAGTACCTTCTGTGCAATTGGCAAGGTGAGATTGAAAGGTATTGGTCCGCCGCCACCACTACCAGTGACAAGAGGATTGAAAAGTGACGTTGTTAAAGTCACTGACGGCTGGTCCGGATGTGGTTTTGTCGTCAACAGCAAGAGTCCGAGAAACAAGAACAGCGATGGCACCAGCAGTTGGAAGACAACGGTTTTCTTGTCGCGCATTGCACTAAGACCACGTTTCTTGAATAGAGCCCTGAAGTGCCTTCCAAAGAGTGACCGTCGTTTCCCCAGGTGGATAATAGGATACCGTTCGAAAACCGAGACCAGGCTTGCGAGAACTCTTGTGATTATTCCCACACAGGATGATATCCAGCTGTAGCGGCTCTTTTTCACTTCAAAACTTGCAGCACCGTCCTCACTGTCCACATCTATGCGGTCATCACTACATGATGCATTTGCTTCCGAAGCTTCAGCGTTGCATGTTTTCTGTAGTGGACGTACTTCTTGCTGAGGAGCTTCCCCACTTGCAACCCTTAAAAACACCTCTTCTAGCGTAGTCACAGAAATGCCATAGCTTTCAACATCCCATGAATTGATACCACCGGGCTCTTCTCCGGAACCGGATAAATCAGAGAGCGTTGCGTGAGCTTCTAACTCTTCAAATAGCAAATGAAATGTCGAGGTAGAAGCAAGAGGAAGACGATATGATAGCTCCGAGCCCACCTGGAAGAAACAACGGCCGATTAACACTTTACACAATTATTTTAAAACTTCTCACATCACTTAGAAGTGTTGCCGAGGGTACGTGCCGAAGTATAGCCTCTGATATTGATTCAGTCCCGGATTGGCCCTGTCAGTCAGAAACGTTATAGACATTTTCCAAATGATATTTGTCGAGCCAAACCTTCACAAGCGTGAGGGTGTAGCCTACCCCATAACGGTGCTTGAGAAACAAAGAACTAGAACACAAAAAGGCTTGTCACAATAAGCAGCAAGTAAACCAATCAAATACCTTCCGCAACATCGCAAATTCCCACTTGACATTATAGCAATCCTGTCACCTAGTACGTCCGCCTCGTCCATGGAGTGCGTTGTTAGAAGGATAATCCGATCCTTTTTGTGACGCTTAAGGAGCCGCCAGGTCAGTCTCATTGAATAGGGATCCATTCCACTAGTCGGTTCGTCCAGAATCACCACCTAAAGCTTAAAGTTCGAAACATTTGACCAAAAAGTTCGAGACTGTACCTTGCTACCTCCTAATAATGCAAGCGCAACGGAGAGCTTGCGTTTCATTCCACCGGAAAGATGACCAACTAGTGCATCAGATTTATCCAGCAAACCGATCTGTAGTCAGCATGTTACAAAGTGCATACTTAAATAGAAAAACTCAACCTCGGAAATCATTGAATCCACTTCGGTCTGTAATACAGAAGGATCAACCGATTTCAAACTTCCAAAAAGAAGCAAATGCTCCCGCACCTATCGAAGTTAACATATTACCAGGAAAGTCACAACGTTTTAAATTA